ATATATACGTAAATAACAGTAGCATGTATAACATGTTGTAACAAGTCATGCGTATAAGTTTAACAGTAGGAATGACTGTGATGTAGCACAGTGTTTTTCAAAGTGGGGGCCATGGCCCCCTGGGGGATYGCCCTGGGAGCATTATGGGGTCCTCAGAWAGGCGAAAAAAGGCAAATACCTAAAGTTTATATCTAATGAATATTTTAAATTATTTTCATAAAAATAATCTGTTTTTCAATCATTATTTGAAAATATAATTTATAAAAATATATTGAAATATTGTTTAGGAGAGCAGTTTGATTTCATTTGTTCTGTTCTTAGTTTCAACAGCTGGTTATTCAGTGGGATTATAATAGTGTTTAACACAGTTTAGTTGATAAAATTTTAATGTTCAACAAATATAATACTTATAAAAAGTGATTTAAACATTTTAACATTTTACATATTTTGTAGCATTTGTTTGCAAAGGGGGTCCCCAGCCAAACGCCTATGCAGTTTGGTGGGCTACGGCATGGAAAAGTTTGGGAACCCCTGATGTAGCACATATCATTTTGGGGTTCTTTCAGATCTAAAAGATTTAAAACATCTGATGGTTTTAAGCTGAGTGTAAAAAAAACTATAAGATAAATAAAATAAACAGCCAAACCTTTCACAGCTAGCATAGCCCTGTGGTAACAACTGTTGCCGTGCTTACATTCACTCTTCTCATGATCAAAAGATGTATGCAAGCATAAAATCCTCAATATATCTCAGCAGAAGACACTTTAAAGAATATATGTACAAAATATTTCAATTATATTTACGTATTTATTAAAGTATTTTATTCACCCCCTTTTGTACCAGTTTGAGGTAGACATTTCCCTCCAGCAGGGCAGGCAGGAAGTCACATTGATATAACAGAGTAGACAGCCTATTATTTTGTTTTAAAACTTAAATCAGCTGCCYAAAGCCAAAATAACACTTTTAGAGCTTCTAGAAGTAAAACAAAATGTCTGGCAACAATTGTTGCCGGTGGAATTAAACAGGTATATCAGCATCAAATTATTATCAGCAGCAGGACTTTGAAACAATTGTCTATTTTGAAAACTTTATTATTGTATTATTTCAACTTTATTTTGGTAAWGTCATGACTTTAATGTCTAAGCATTTTGACTTTATTACTGCAATAAAAAAACTCTTAGTCTGACCCTGGTACTCGTAGTCATAGTTTTTGAGGTACATGTTGTCAGTTTTTAATGTAATTTTGTTTTGGCGTATTTTTTGATCTCTTTCTGTGCCTCCTGAATTGATTTTTTCACCCCATGTTCTGAATGACAGTCTAATTATTCCTCTATCTTTTAACGTAATTATCCRTAAAGGCTGTGTGGTTTTAGTTTGGAGACACAATTCTACACAAATCAGATTTTTGTAATTTTATCTAAGACACATTGTTTAAATAGCTTTCAGATAACTCTTCCTGATTGTGTTAAAAAAAGTCCTGTCAGCAGGTTAATTGACAATAAAAGAACCTTATCTTGWACAATTAGAGGTTTGTTTTCTCCCTTTGTGCACAGGGCTTTGGGAGATTTGTTTTCTGAAACACCCTGCCCTCTCTTCGGCCTTTCATTATCCGTCTTTCTTCCTTTCCCCAGGTTTGAAATCCGCAACGGCAACAACCTGCGTTTGTTCCGGGTGAAAGAGCAGGATGAAGGAACGTATACCTGCACATCTGAGAACAGCGTGGGCAAGACGGAGGCCTCGGCCATGCTGCAGGTCCACGGTAAGAAACCGTTTATGCATGCTGAGTGCTGAGCGTGAGCACACACACACGCACACACATGCAGAAGCTCTGTGTCCAAGGTCACATGACTGAAGCCTGGTTTCTGACGCTCGCCGTGTTTTTGTATCGGAGCATCTGTGTGAGTCGCTGTCCAGGGGTGGTGCCAGGAGCTTATGTTAAACCGTGTGGATTACGCCTTTTGACAGATGTTTGGTAGATGTGTGCTTTAACTCGCTGCCAGAGAGCAGTCACAGTATTAATAAGACATGACTCCCYCTCTCTTTCCCTTCCCATCTCCTTATCTCCCTCCTCCTTTACTCCCTCTGCCCCTTTTTGTCACTCTCTCTGTGTCTTGGTTTGTCTAAGATGACTTCATCCACTAATGCTTTTATCAGTGCAAATGAAATCCAAACCCAGCAGTATTTCATTCAATCCCCCTCTTTTTTGTTCGCTTATATTTTTTTTCATCCATTTCATTATTTCTTCATTTCTCTCCATCGCGTTTCGGAGCCTATCATCATTCCACTTGGCTCATTCCGCAAGTTCACCTTCGATCTGATGCATATCTGAAATGGGCATCGGCGTCGCTCTGTAATTTAAGAACAAGAGGGAAAAAAAGAAGAAGAAGAAATGGTACTTTCTGTGGCGTATTCCTAATGGTGTTTTAAAAGCAACAATCAGTGCCTAATGGTGTAAATAAGTCCCTCCATTAGGTACCGACACGCTTGACAACATGGCTGCTGCAGCAGTGAAGCCTCAGTGGTCAGCAGATAAGTACTCGTGTGGAGGCGAACGGGTCGGGTTAATGTGACTCCACAGACGTCCAACATGAAGGTGAACGTCTTCTAATCACAACTAAACTGACGTCCTGGGTCTAAACCAGGATGTGCTCTGACCCTGTTACTGAATCACTGACCATTAGTGAGAACCAGGTGCAGCTGGTTGTGTCGTCTAATACAGTGGTTCCCAAACTTTTTATCTTCTGACCCACGAAATATTCATGGCAAAAACGTGTGACCCCATATTACTGGTCTGAGTACACAAACTTTGTTAATCACCCTGAAAGCAAAGTCTACACAAATATAATACTTATTCATACTTATTTTGTGTTTTTGTAATAATTATAGGGAAAATATTACATCACCAATTATTTTATTACTTTTTAAATTGATTTCTGAAGTGCAGTGGTTCCCAAACATTTCAGCTTTTGACCCACAAAATAACAGTAGCAGAGACCTGCGCCCACAACTATTTTTGGATGATAAACCATTGTATCAGGTCAACTAAACATGGGCATAGTAACAATATTTATTATTCTACATTTTTATATTTCATTTGACTTAACTGTTTTCATTTAACTCATTTAGTTTTACTAACACTATAAGTCCAAGAATGCTTTAACTGGTAAACTAGAGAGAGTTTGGATTTTCACAACAGCCAAGTAGGGGTTATATGATAAACCTTTTAAAAAGTTAAGGTGGAAATATAATGGTAAATTCAAAACTTGTCAAAATGGGCCATTTAGGCCCCAGACCATAGARGGTTAACTAAAGAACATTTGGGCTTTACTGGTTGACTAAGTACAACACAATCATAGTAGCATTTGTGCAAATTTGAGATCTAACTACCTGACTAGTAAATATTTTTGGCACATTAAATAGCTAGTGGACATTTTTACTGCACTAATTAACTTGTAAGGTCAAAAAAGCTTTAACTAAACTAGTGAAAGTTTGGCTTTTCTAAATAGGCAGTCCTGTCATAATTAGTCACAACAGCCAAGTAGTGAATATATTAGGTCTTACTTGTTAACTGGTATATTTAAGACACATTTGGTTTTAAGGGTTTAGTTGAATTAAATAACCAGTAGGTTTCAAAATTCTTAGGGAACAATTTGGGCTTTACTGGTTGACTGGTAAGGCAAAATTGGTTTCTCTGTTGCTACTTGTGCATATTAGACTCAAATTAATCAACCAATAAATATTTTAGGCACATTAAATAACTAGTGAGCGTTTTAACAGCACTAGATAACCTGAGTTTAAAAAACTTTAACGTGTAAACTACAGTGCAAAAATTGTACATCTAACCAAGTCTTATTTGAGTCAGAATCTTCTCAAACGAAGTGAATTAATCTGCCAGTGCATTAAGACATTTGCACTTGCTAAGACTTCTTGAAATAAGGAAAGTGTCCACACTAACGATTAATAATCCAACACATGCTGCTCTTGCTTATCAGTTTTAAAATAAGATCAAAAAGACTTTTTTGGCTGCATATACGATTGTAAAACTTGGTGAGAAGGACAATTTTTGCTGTGTAGAGATCATTTGTGAACTAGTTGAGTCCTGTTAGTTAAACGATTCACAAAACAATCAGAGTGAACAGATCTGGGGTCGGATTTATAAAACTGGCGTACGCACAATTTGAGCCCAGAAACCTGCGTACGCCACTTTTTACGCCAAGGTTGTGATTTATAAAATCCAAACTTGACGTGAAAATGTGCGGTGCCTCACGCCAGCTCTGACCCATGTGTACGCTCATTTTGGAGACGTGAAGCTGTGACACAGATGGTGAAGTGAAGAATTAGAGCCACACTGTGTAATGATCACTGTCAGATATTTAATTTACCTTCATCAGACTTAGATTTTTATTCAACTTTATCATCAGCTTTCTTAACAGTAATATTTATGCTTCTGCTGCTGAGCCATGAGGACCTTTGAAATAAAAAAAAAAACTTAAATCTTAAATAAAAGTTCCCGTGTGCAACTCCATTCATCTGCTTCCTCCTCAGACGACCCTGACCCACACAGACCCCTCCCTGACCCACAGACCCCTCCCTGACCCACAGACCCCTCCCCGAGCAGGACAGCAAAAGTCACGCTTTGGATACATGCGCAGGGCGCATCCACCTCGAAGTGTGGATGTTATAAAACTTCACATTTTAAAGTCCGTATTTGGAGGACGAGGAGAAGAGCGGTAGACTTACTTTTAATTTTATCTGACTTATTTAATTTAATTTTTTTGTTTGTTTTTATCGTCCTGCAGGCTCTGTGACAAAATTAATTTGAAGCTGAGATTTTTTTTTTATAAAAATTGTTAGATTACTCTAAAGCAAAATGAGGGAAAATCTGTGTCAATTACAGACATTCTGTTAAAGTGAGCAGCTGTCAGTCAGCACCTGTCAACCTCCAGACACACGACGGAGCGTGTCTGAACCAATCACTTTTGTTGACATTGATCAGCTGACTGATTTAAATATACTTTAACATTCATGAGGTACTTTACATTGACTGTTTATGATTGAATGTGGGCGTGTAGAGGGCAGAACCTGAGGCAGGACCTTGCGCGCAAACTCTGACGTGCGGCTGTGATTTAAAAAGGAAAGATGCGCAGAAACGTGCGTGCGTACGGTTTTATAAATCTTAATTTTTTTTTGGCGTACGCCATTTCCACCTTTTGGCCGTACGTTCACTTTTAGTATGGTTTCCACGCAATCCTTTATAAATGAGACCCCAGGTTGCCACTGATACTTGTAGGCAGAAATTGTCTCAGCTTGTTAACAAGTTAGGGTTGTTAATGCTTCCTAGCTAACTAGTACAGAACATATACAAGGTCTGTCTGGTGGTTCACCAGGGGATAATAAAAACTGATTACATTTGGAGTTTTTAGTGCAGGTTTTTGGCTGAATAATACAACTTTAACTATTAGACAAAAGTGCTGAACCGGTGCAGAGAAGTCAGAATAGCAGAGAAAAATAAAGCCTGACTGCAGAGAGATACTGAATAAAAACTCAAACAGTTGTCTGAAAACCTTAAACTGTGAGAGATCCAGAATGTTTGCTTGTTTGCTTTGCTTCAGTGGACCGACAATAATTCATTGTTTTTATCGTCTTCATCACCTCAGCAGAAACATCAACATGTTCAGCTCCGCCCCTTCATGTGAGCTGTTTACAGAAAAGCCCACGAGAAGAAGGCAGGAGTGGCTGGCTGTTAGGAAAGTGCAAAAAGCTTCCTTATTGTTGCACTTTTTTTTTTTTTGGCTTCATGTTGGGTTTAAACAAGTTTTTGTCACTTCTGGGTGCTGTCTGATTCTGTGCCATGAAAGAACAAAACATTTTGAAGTCGTCGTTTCTGTTTTACAAGCCAGAATTCTGAACAGGCAGGCAGTTTTGGTTGTTTGGCACCGAAATGTATCGGACTCACCTTCGAGAACATTTAATGAACAGGTGTATTGGCTTTTAAGAGTCACTTGAAATATCGCTTCGTGGAAACCGTTCTGACAGCCGGAAAGCTAAACACCATTAAACAAACAGCGGAAACGCTCTTTGTGACTAATGCGTCCTATTTGTCGACAGGCCTTAAAGTGGCTGAGGAAAAGAAAACTCATAATCTGATCACTTTGAAGTTGATTGAAGAGTTTTAACCGATGCAGATGAGTCGCTTCTCTGGTTTCTGGAGCCGATGCTCGAGGTACTACTCATGTTTGGAAGTCCCGTTGGAAATGAACAAATGGCTCATGCAAATCGACAGATGAGTGCGAGCCGGTTATTCAAACCGAACGTAGAAGGCGGTCAGTGCAAATCTTCAGAAGATGTGATGACGAAGATAGCTCCGTGATTTGACCTCAGCTGTAAATTAGCAGCTCTGTGGGACCTTTTCCCAAAATAACGCAGTAAATGTCATCAGGATGGAGCTGGTTTGGAGCTGCGCTGATTTTTTTCCCCTTTCTTTCCAGATTACCAGGAGGTGATTTGTCTTATTAAAAATGAGAACAGATCAAAAAACACTTAGAAGGCCAAAGAGAAAACTCTCATATCCTGCTTGTCAGGAGCTAATGAGGCTTTTATCGATCAACAGCAGGGGAAACAGCTGAGGGGACCTTTTATTAACATGCTTCCTTATTCTATTTTCTGACATTTTATACCCTAAATATCAATAATTCCTTTGACTTGACAGCCTTGAATAAACTGTTACACTGCTGTTTAACTCCCGGTCTGTCAGATAAATAACTTTGAATAGAAGGAAAACATTATGGCTTTCTTATATGGAACACCAAAATAGTCATAATTAATTAAAAATAATAAAACAAAATCATTTTGATGAAAAGGAAAACATTAGACATTACTGATGGAGTCAACTCTGTCTGTTAGCAAAATATCTCATGAACCACTAGGTGTTTTTTTTTTAATGAAACTCCCAGAAACAAATCAGTGAATGTCCGTCTTTGTCCGACACAAAAACAACTATAACTCAGCTTTTCTGACACGAAGCTAAAATTCTCTGTGGAAGTAGCTGAGAGCTATCGCCAACGCATACACTGAGTGCTAACATGAGATTGATTTCATTGTTTGACCAAAACAGCTCCAGCTCATCTCAATAAAGGTTGCAGGTGATGTAATTAGCTGCAGAATTTTAAAACAGCCCCAACTTACTGTAAAAATAATAATGACCATCCCCCCCCC